GCGACCGCGGTGGTTTGTTATTGCAGCGGCTGGAGGTGCGGCTCGCGTTTAGCCGCAACTAGTGTTGCCCAAATGCAAGAACAAGACGAGACTTAGCAAGTCTTGGTCTTGGTCTTGCGCCAATACACCTGGTCTTGGTCTTGCTCTCGGTTTTGCACTCCCAGTCTTGGTCTTGGTCTTGGTCTTGCAGTAAGAGTCTCGCAATGACCTATTAGCCTATTACTATTTATTAAACGTTACTTTAGATCTTAGAACAACTTAACAGAGTAGGTACATATTGAGCTTGAATTAACATAGCCATAGTAAAGACCAACCAAATTAATAAATGTCTAAACATTTAATGAGAAATTCGAAAAATCAACTGACACCGGCGGGGGTTTGAACCCACGACCTAAGCGATCCGTGCCGATGCTCTAACCAACTGAGCTATCTACCGTGTCCCACGGCCACGGGCGTCAGTCTGTTTCTCAATAAACGTTTACATTTAATAAGCTTACATGTGCTAAAACATGGTTAAACATATAAAAACAAATTAATGGGAATAACTTCACTGTATTTTAAAGAACATTATCTGTCTAGAAAGAGATTGATGGAACCTCACTATATATTAAATGGAACAAAAGAGTTATACAATATACTATTTATTTAAATAAAAAATAAAATACAAACTACTTCACACACACAATCACAAATCAAATTACTTCACAGTACACAATAGCTTTGACGTTACTGTTACTTTATATTAATTCTTTTGACTAAGCGTTAATACAAAGTAACCATCTGGCTGACTCATCACTTAATCTATTTCTATGCTTTCTAATTACTAATGATGCTTTAGAAAATAATCTCTCAGCAGGTACTGAAGTTGCAGGTATTGAAAGAAAATAAGAGACCATCTTCGATTAAATCGGATATTTTGTCTCATGCGTCCTCCGCCACTCTAAAATGTCTACCGAGCTGGCGGCTCTGGGTTTACTTAGATACTCCTCCAACTCGTTAATAACTAAGACTTGAAGACAAGATCCAGATCCATTTTTACAGATTTCAAGTGTTTTAAAAGTGTCTACAATATTTATCAAATGGGTGACAACATATTCGAGCACTTTGTGTTTTAAAAACACATACTTCCAAAAGTCAAGATATGCAGTGAACTTATTGAACATGATTATCTATTAGGTAATAATAATAATAATAAGTAATTATTACAAATCCATATAGTTAATGTTATAATAATTACTTACTAGAATAAATTATTATGATATCTACCTATCCTTACCATTATCTAATTACAATATTTCTTGCGAGATTAGCATAATGTATTCGAGTCCATTCTGAGCACCCGGAAACTTATTTTATTCTTTGGAATATGTACTCTGTGGCAAATGTAGTACGTGCGGCGCGTCGACGACGACTGTATGTGCGATATCAATAGTAGCCGCCAGCACGTGTATATCTTGACCTAGTACTTTAACGAATAGTTGCACAATTTTTTTGACAGGTCAGTATCCGACCTATGATGACGCCGACAACCAGACGCCGCGCACTATCAAAGTGCCGATGGTCAAAACTAGGGATGCACTCTTTTTTCTTTTAATGGATATTTTCATTCGCTATGTATGTTTATGGTATTGTTCGTAATGCGCATAAGTCCAATTTTCCATTTTTATTATTATATTTTTTTGCATCTCATAGAGTCCCTAAGCGTATACTCGAATTCCTATACTCCCTGAAACGGCATTCACTCCTAACTGCAAGACGCAAGAGTCTCGCAAGTTTAGTCTTGTTCTTGCGCAAATCTTGCAAGGTCAGTCTTGGTCTTGGTCATGCTAAAAATAGGCGGTCTTGTTCTTGGTCTTGGTCTTGCAAAAATACAAGAACAAGACCAAGACTGCAAGTCCAAGACCGATTTTGGGCAGCACTAGCCACCACCGCAAGCCGCTTGTGTGTGGGAGACGCTTAAATCAGTCACTCGCTAAGCGCTTGTAAAGTTGTCACATGTGGATTTAAAAAAAAATGTCTTGATATAATATGCCGGGGTGTGTTTTTAGATATTGCACAAAAAATTCACGAAATGTTAGTAAAAACCAAGGAATCACTTTTCGTCGGTAAGTAAGATACTTAATTAATAAGACAATATTATAGATTAATAATTAAAAAAGTTATTTCTTTAGCGCCAACTTGTGTCGTAGTGTCGTGTGTAGATTATGAAATTAATTTGTTCAGATACGACATTTCTGTGAGCAAGTGTAGGACGATTATATTATGCACATTTTTTGTAGTAGAAATAAATAGAAGTATTTATAATTAGGCTAAATTTCTTACGTTTATATTTGCTGATTATTCTTTTATTTTATTTTTAGGTTTCCACGTCCAAACCACGAAAACCGAGAAAAGTGGATTAAATTCGTCCAAAATAATCGTAGAGAAGAGATGTGGTTAATGTGTGGTTACCAGCAAATCATATATACATTTGTTCCTTGAATTTATAGAAGAGGATAAATATAGTACGAAGAAAGGGAGACATTTTCTGAAAAAGTCTGCAGTACCTTGTATAGATGTAAGTAATGAATGTTTGTTATGTAAATTAATGTAACAATGGAGATGTACAGATAAAAAGTAATTTTAAAATGAATCATACTGTTTTAGAATACTAAAATAACTAAGTGACTAAAATACTTTTAATTTTCTTTAGTCGATAAATTCTGATTTTTTTAGCCTAGAGGTAGTGACGAATCAACGGAATCAATAAATGCAGAAGCAATGGACCCAATATCTGTACCAGTGAGCGACACAAAATCGATTTTCGATAGTCTTAGGAAAATTATCTTGAAACGAACACTGCAAAACGTCACTATAGTTAAGAATAAGTTACACAAAAAGTTTAAAAAAATACAGCAGCAAAATAGAAATTTAAAGAAGAAATGTCAATCTTTAACAAGTATTAAGCGGCTTACAAATATGTAAGACAAATTTACAGTAACGTTCTTCCACATCCACGTACCGTCTATCGATGGTATGGATTAGTTAACGCTGAACCAGGGTTCACTATTGAAGCATTTCAAGCTTTAAAAATCAAATGTAACTTAAAAGAACAACCGGTAGTGTGCACGTTGATCTTTTATGATATGGCCATTCGTAAACAAAAATTATTTCATAACCAAATGAATCTCGGTGCTGTTAATTTTGGCGCAGGTCCACAAGAAGGCGACGAATAAGTTGCATCACAGGCTTTAGTGTTTATGCTAGTGTCACTAACGGAAAATTATAAACTGCCTGTAGGCTACTTTTTGACTTCCGGTATTACTGCTGAAACAAAGGCTAATTTAATAACAACATGTTTACAAAAATGTCATGAAATTGGAGTAACGGCCTTAAGCCTTACATTCCATGGTTGCTATGCAAACTTCTCCGCTGCTGAAATTCTAGGTTGTGAACAAACTGATTTGAACAACATTAAGACTGATTTTCCGCACCCGTCAACTCAAGAAAAAAATTGTGTATTTTTAGATCCATGCCATGTGATCAAATTAATTCGAAACACCTTTGAGAAAAAAAGAATATTATTTGATGAAGATGGCAAAAAGTGAGATGGGAATTGATAAAAAATCTGAATAAACTTCAACAAAATAAGGGTCTCAGATTTGGTAACAAGCTGACGCCGCGTCACGTCCATTTTAGAAACCAAGTTATGAAAGTTAAACAAGCTACGCAATTATTGAGCATGATTAATTTTCAGCAAAAAACAACAAATAAGTGTATATACGTATAATGGGTCCGACAAACGTTTTTTAATTTACATGCCAAATAAATCTACAAAATAATACGAGAAAAACTGTGTTTTTACTTTTTTCATATCTTAAAAATTGGCTGAGATATTAACGATCAAAGTGCGTATTTCCCAACGAAGATTTTTAAAAACGCGGGCGGGCGCTCATTATCTGACGACGTCACACCCCCGCGCTCAATCAAACAATCGCGGTCTCGTCTACACTTATCAGTCTTGTTAAACAATCTCAAAATAATTATCAATAACAATATTTTGGCGTGTGCTTTGTACTTTTGAAACAGTCTTGCAATAGTATTTAAAGAAATTATTACTGCCTTTCCATTTCCCTTTACGTAATATTTTCTCTAAGGGAATGTTATTAGCGTAACTAAATGAAGCCACTGCAGACCTGATGCTTCCTGGACTAGACAAAATACCAGCTTCGATGAAAGCTGTTTTAACCCATCCTGCTATAACAGATCTTGAAGCTGTTTTCACTAATCCTCTAGTGGAAATAAATAAACTATCTAAGTTAGGATCAGCTTTCCTCCTTTCTTTAGTCACACTTAATAAAGTTGTGACCCAAAAATGTAAATCAAAGTAGCGATCCTCTGATTTAAAAATTTTCCAGCCTGATTGCATGTACTTTACCTTGTCAGTTTTTGATCCGAATTTTGGCCAAAATATCACATAATTTGAATTTATCTCCATGAACTCATTTCCTGTAGAAAGTAAGGTAAGGTCATGAATCCTTCGCCCGGATGCAAGCAATAAAAATAATGCAGTATACTTCGAGGTTTGAAAAATACTATTCTTATCAGGAAGATTTTTCTTCATTCATGTTAATAACGTTTCCACATTCCAAACTTCGCACTTACGTTTTAACGCTGAGCTGCCCCAGCTTTTAAAATAGTTTTCACAATTGGGTGTGAACTAATCCTTTCTCCCAATTCTGGATTTGAAAAGGTAGCTACCACGGACTTGTGGACTAAAATGGTTTTATACGCAAACTTTTTATGCACACAAAGATAACTAAGATATAATGTAACTTGTTGTGGTGTAGGGATTGTTAGATTTATGCAATTTACACCATGTGAGCCAAGAATTCCAGGCTGTTTTATGTTTTCATTGTAGAGTCGCGCCAAGCTTAGGGTATCAACGACAGGTCTTCGTCGTTCTAATCTCTTAAAAGTGCATCCCACCCGCAATTTTCCAGACTTCTAAAGACCGGTTGCTAATGTATGGAGGAGGCTTGTTGGCCGTCTATCCGGTGATCTCCAAGATTCTTTATCATGAATGGTTGATCCTTTGTTCTGATCCTGAGATCACCACGCCAATACACTTTTTCCCATCTCGGAGCTACTAATAGGTACGTTCCCGTGGCATGGTTCAGGTGCTGTAGAAGTCTTGGAATTAAAGTTGGAGGAGGAAAGACCCATGCCAGGTGGTATGTCCAGGTCTGACTGAACGCACTGTGGAACACAGCTCTGCTGTCTTTTGGATTTAGTGACGCATAATTCGGTACTACTGCTGATTGATTTGTCGTAAACAAGTCTATTTCTGGAATTCCCCATTTCTCGAAAATGATTTCTGTTATACTGGACAATACATGCCAATCGGGCATTGGTAGATTTATGAAAAGGCGGTCAGCAATACAATCGTATCTTCCAAGTATGTAGAACGGATGGATCAGAATTCTGAATTCTCTCGCCATTATCAGCAACTTTTTTGTTGCTTCTAATAATATAAGAGATTTTGTACCTCCTTGTTTTCTGATATGGGCCACAACAGTCTTGTTGTCCGATTGGATCATAACCGTTTTACCTTTTAATTCGTCTTTGAATCTGTTGAGAACTATCCAAATCGTGTACAACTCCTTCATATTGACATGCCAATACCTTTGGGATTTTCTCCAAGGCCCGGAAATGCATGTGTCTCTGATTTGTGCTCCCCATCCCGTATCTGAAGCATCTGTCGTTATCAAAGTTGTAGGGTGTTTTATAAATATTGCATCTGATTCTTTGACGTTCTTTCTCCACCAAATACACTCCTCTAAAGCTTTTCGAGGTATCAACATTCGTAGTCGAGGCGCTTCTGCGGAAAGAAGTTGACTTGCTCTTTGTAGATATCTTGTGTTTAGGCAACCTAATGGTGTTACGAAGGCCGCAAAAGTTAATCTCCCTATCAGTGAAGTACCTATTTCCCAATTCCAGAATTTGGAATTTATGACTCGATCGAGATCCTGGAGGATTCTGTTCACATTCTCTCTGGGAAGCGACTTTCAATTTGTTGCTGTGTCCTACAAGATTCCCAGAAATTCTAACTTTTTTGTGGGAAAAAGAATTGATTTTTGGATGTTTATTACCTAACCTAAGTTAAGTAGTACCATTTTCACATACTGTATTTGACAACTGAGAGCGTTTTGATCTTGACCCGCTATTAGAAAGTCGTCTAAATACACTATTACTCGGATGCCTATTTTTCGAAAATGACTTGCTATCCAGTTCGTTATCATGGCAAAAGCTAAAGGAGCGCTTGCCAGTCCAAAAGGTAGACACGTCCATTGATATATCTGTTTTTGGGAAACAAAAGCTAGGAATCGACGATGTTGCCTTTTGATCGGTACATGCCAATATGCCTTTGAAAGGTCTATTTTTGATATGTAATCTAGCTCCTGCAGAAAATTTGGGACATCTTTTTGATTTTCCAAACGGAACTTTTCCGGTTTCAAAAATACGTTTAACTATTTGAGGTTGAAAATAGGTCGCATCGTGTTGTCGGATTTTTTACAAGAAACATTTGTGATAAGAATCCGGTCGTCACTGTTGTTTTTTCTATTACACCCAATTTTATCATATTTTGTATTTCCTGTTGCAGTGGTGGGGACTCGTTCACTGAAAATCTTCTTATGTTGCGCATTGAAAACGGTATGATCGGAGGTTGCATAACGAAAGGGATAGTGTACCCTTCTAAGATCCATAGAATATGAGGAGGTGGATTTAGTTTTTTCCATTGATGTAGAAAATCCTTCAGTCGGCCGTAAAAGTGTGAGTCAATCCCGCTGACCACTAAATATTCCTCTTTTAAAAGAATTTTGGATTCGCTTCTCAGATGACTTTGACTGTTTAGACAGAGTCTTGGTAAATTTATTTCGAGTTTTGTTTGAGTTCCGTTGGGTGCTTGATGTATTTGTCGAGGGCCGATGTCGAAACTTTGCTTCATTGTATTGTTGTTGGTTTTCCTGAAATGGCTTCGTAAACCTTGAATTAAATACTCGAAAGGAGTTCCTTTCGGGTATTTAATTCAATTTTTTCAAATTCATTAATTCAGACAATTTTTGCTCGTTGAATAAATGTGTGCGTGAAGGTGGGATTTCATTCAATTAACTCGCTAAAAATTCCGATGTAGGTCTAAAAATTCTTCCACGATTTTCGAACACTTCTGATCTACGTGCACATGTATAATGTAATGAATCATCAGATGTCTGTTTAAATGAATCCGGTTTAGCGAAAAGAGATTGTTTTAAAAGGGACACCGCTTCCGGATATTTTTTCTCTACCTCATTTATTGCTGCTTCAATCTGTGCCCTTTCTTTTATGATGCCATGAATGATAGTGCCTAGGGTATCCGTTCTGGCCAATATTTTGGCTATGAGAAGTCAAATTGCCAAGGCCTATTAGTTGAGAGTTTACTTTTAAAGCACTAAAAACTGGAGCGGCATGAAGGCGTTTCTGTACATCTTTATATTTTATCTTATTCCAAGAATTGAGTTCATTTTTTGACACGAATACCCTTGCTTTTTCTGTCTGAGAATCAGCTCTCGGAATAGACGGTTGAACTTCTTCAACGACAGGTGTAAAATCGTAGGAATATTGAATAAAACTATTTTTTACGGATTTTATCGCGTTGAATTTACTCTTTTAATTCCCGGCGTTTCGGGTGCTTTACAGCAACCTATGGTCACGGGGGGGGGGGGACTGAGATGTTTGACATCCCGATGTCACATTTTGCCCTGCTACCTTCAGTTTTTAATATTCATTGTTGGTTCGATTTACGCAGAATGAACTTACAGTATCTTGAAGTCTAGCAGTGGTATGCTTGGGTTTGGATTTAATTTTGTTAATTATTATAGGATCTCAAGCAGATGGCAGCACTCATCCATCTTCTCTAATGAAATTAGGATGTTTTTTAATTTCAATAGCCTCGCGTATCATCCTTGGTAGGAATCGGTGTTCATTTGCGAGGATTTGTGGTCTTTTAAATCTGATGTAATGGCGGGGGCGATCTTGAACATGTTCACAGACTGCAGATTTCCCAGAGCGTCGGGGCTTTACGTCAGCTATATGTTCTTTCACGCGGGTTTTAATGGATCTTTTTGTTTGTCCTATGTAAGAGATACCACATTCACAATCAAGCTTGTGCACTCCTGCATCTTGCAGAGGGATATTACACTTGACGGATGGTAAAAATTGACTAATCTTCTTCGGCGGCTTGAAGTATGTTTTAATAGAAGCTCACTTCAAAATGTAGCGAACCTTGTCTGTGACTCCTCTGACATAGGGCAGTATAGCAGGCACACGCTCGACTGTGGTCGGCTTCCCGAAGCTTGTTGTCGTGCAATACTTGCTCGACGTGCTGAAGCTCGGCGACCAGATGTTTTCTGTCACAGATCCCTCATGCTCTCTGAAACAAAGATTTTCCCACGGTAGCTAACTGTGATGGATGATGGTGCGATTCACCATTTAAATATCGGTTGATATGGGTCTTTTTCCTATACACAGTGTGACCAATGGTGTTATCAGGATTTCGGATGACTAAAACATCTAGGAAAGCTAAAGAATTGTTTGCCCCTAACTCCATTGTGAATTGTATTTTAGAGTTTATGGAATTAAGGTGGTCTAAAAATGCAGTTACTTTGTCAGATGGTAAAATTGTGAAAGTGTCGTCTACGTACCGCTTGTAGAATCTTGGATTTACAGGAGCAGTAAGAAGGGCTTTCTCGTCAAAGTCCTCCATGAATATGTCGGCGACTATGGGAGATACAGGTGAGCCCATCGCCACTCCGTCTACTTGCTTGTAGAACTTCTCCTTCCACAATAGATAGCCAGATGTAAGGCAGTGTTTGAGTAATACTGCATATTCTGTAGGCATGTTGTATTCTTCTAGCTTCCTGGTTACAATTGAGCAGTCTTCAATAGGTAAACATGTAAATAGTGACTGAACATCAAAACTGACCATATTTTCGTTGTCAGCAAGATGTAGGTCTTATATCTCATTAACAAAATGGTACGAATCCTTTGTGTGTGCTCTAGTTTGTCCTCTCAGTGGTAACAGAATTTTTGCCAGGTGTTGAGCCAACTTATAAGTCGGTAAATCGATTTGGCTCACTGTGGGACGTAGTGGAGCGTTTGGTTTGTGTATTTTCAGTAACCCATATAACCTAACAAATAGATCCATTAAAACCCGCGTGAAAGAACATATAGCTGACGTGAAGCACCGATGCTCTGGGAAGTCTGTAGTCTGTCAACATGTTCAAGATAGCCCCCGCCATTACGTCAGATTTGATAGACCACAAATCCTCGCAAAAGAACACCAATTCCTACCAAGGATGATACGCGAGGATATTGAAATTAAAAAAAATTCCAAATTTCAATAGATAAGATGGATAGGTGCTGCCATCTGCTTGGGATCCTATAATTAACAAAATTAAATCCAAACCCAAGCATACCACTGCTAGATTTCAAGATACTGTAAGTTCATTCTGCGTAAATCGGACCAAAAATGAATATTAAAAACTGAAGGTAGCCGGGCTAACTGGATGGTATGTATGGTATCGACTTATAAAAATACTACATTCTTATTATGTCCACCCATCGACTTCTAATTATAGGATCAATAGGAATCCTAAAACCATGCATCCAAATGGTCACATTCGATTTTGACAATACTATTTAGTAATACAAATAAAAAGAGAAAAAGTAAAGAAAAAAAAATGTTTAAGACTAAATAAAAAACACCCGACTGTGCGGAAGCTTGCAAAACAAAAACAATCGGTCCATCCGTTTAGGCTGTAGGCTCAGCCAAACAACTTTTGAAATATACCCACATACACATACATACACACACCATGATGTATTTCCTCCTTCTTGTGCAGTCAGGTAAAAATGAACATACATCAGCTTTTAAGACAACTATACTGGGAAATTCGCAATCCAAGACTGGCAACACCAAAAAATGACGCGTTGATTTTTTAAATAAAATTATCAATTTAAGAGTTTCGTTTTCGTAAATTTTTATTAGTTTTGAGTTACTTACCGATGGTAGGAGATTTTGTTAGTTGTTTGTAAACGTCCTTTGTAATTTCTGTAGATTTTAATCGCGTAACTTGTCATTTTTGCCAAAATAATTTACCTCAAAAAATGAGCCGTGCGTGCATATCTCTTGGCGTTACAATTGACAATGAGGCTAACTGTTAGCTGATATTTTTTTTGAGCCGCCGTTACTGTAGATCTTAGGTGCTGCAGGATCGTGCTGGAGATTGAAATGAACTTGCGAAATAATGTTTGTACTCAATTTAATAATAATAAGCGAATTTACAAATGGCTGCGCGCGACAAAATATGGGCGTGCGCATCGATTCACATATAGTGGCAGACTGACGGGGTTCTCACCGACGAGCACGTCAGAGGCTCCGCGTCTTTTAAAACAAATTTATAACTAAAATAGATATAGGTAAGTACAATCGATACACAGTAAATTTAATGCCTAAGAGCAGCTGCAGCGCGGTATGGAAGAACGGATGCTCCTCAGGAAGGACCTTCACGCTACCTTCGGGAAAGAGATAAAGGAGGTGAAGGATAGGGTTGCTCAACATGACAACCGCCTGTCGGAAGCTGCAACCCGAATCGACCAAGTGAACAATCGGGTTAACGACGTGATAGCTGATATGAAGAAAACGCTGGACGACTTCAAACTTGGGGATGGAATTACAGCTCCCGTGGTAGCTACAACACCTTCGCTACGTGGATTCAAAGTGCCGCCGTTCGACGGGAGTTCTTCCTGGTCGGCATACAAAATACAGTTTGAGGCTGTCATGAAAGCGAACGGCTGGAATAAAAGTCAGGCCATGACTGCTCTCACCCTAGGCCTACGCGACCAGGCCTTAACTGTTCTGGAAGCTCTTGGTAAGGAAGTGACTTACGAGCAGCTCCTTGAGGCATTGGAGGTGAGATATGGCGATGCTCACCTGGAACACGTATTTCGTGCGCAGCTCAAAGATCGCGTGCAACGCAGTAACGAAAACCTGCAGCAGTGGGCCTTTGAGGTGGAGAAGCTGGTTCGAAAAGCGTACCAGTCTGTACCTGCGCTCATTGTAGGGAACCTGGTGCAGACATTCATCGACGGCATCCGCGACCTTGAAATCAGAGCTGCTGTGAGGCTCGGGCACTACGAGACGCTTAAGGACGCCTTGACCCATGCACTAGAGGTGGAAGCCGTGCGGCAGGATCATCGTTCCCACCGCGTCAGGGAGGTTGCAGCAGCTACAGTTCAGGACCGCAATAAGGGCTACAGCCCTAGGTGCTACGGCTGTGGGGAAAGGGGCCATCTTCGTTCCAGCTGCCTTAAACGAACTGTAGAAAGGGAAGCTGATCGATCTCGAGAGGGTAGTGTGGCTGACAGCACCGCCCAGCAGCAGCAGGGAAACTGGCGGGTGCTGGCTGATGTTAAAAGAGCCCCAAAGATTTCGATCTCACAAACCTGTGATGGAAACAGCCTGATCATCAAGGGCGAGATCAACGGAAAGCCGTGTAAACTGACCATAGACACTGGAGCCTCTCGCACGGTTGTCAGTTCCCAACTTATAAATCAGTTTCTTGGGGACTCCGCATACAACCGCGAACGCATTAATTTGGTGACAGCCACCGGTCAGCGCATACCTGTCCGTGGAAAGAAGGAGATGGAGTTGAAGCTAGGCAACATGATCTACCTGCATAATGTCATCGTGGTTGATATAATGGACGACTGCATCCTGGGCCTAGACTTTATGAGGAAGAATTGTTGTGAGATTGACGTTAAGCAAGGTGTTTTGAAATGTGGACAAGAGGAACTTTTCGTGGAAGGGGCGTTACCAGGGAATGTGTACAGCCTTAAGAAGATTGTTCTTCCGCCGAGATCGGAAACGATTGTGCCGGTTAGACTTCCACGGAATCCTGGGCAAACTCTTCGTTGTGTACTAGTGGAAAGGGTAGACAATGACCTTCCATGGTAAGTGGCTCAAACCTTGGTCAGAACCACCGACATCTCAGGAGTACGTGTGCTGAACCTTTGTGATCAGGAACAGATTATAGAAAAAGGCACATTGGTTGGTACTAGTGAGGAAGTGGATTGGTTGCGTCAGTGCCAATATCTATCGACTGGGACCCCCAGCAAGGATGGACAAACTAGAGTGACCACACTTTTAGAAGACTGTCGCAGCGTTCTCTCCCCGAATGAAACGGCCAAAGCGAAGAAGTTGTTACTCAAGTACGCCAATGTTTTCTCGTCAAACGAAGCTGACATAGGAAAGACTGGCTTAGTTCAACACAAAATAAACACAGGACAAGAATTGCCTATTCGTCAGCGGCCAAGAAGATTGCCCGTAGCACGTGAAAAGGAAGTGGAAACCATGATTGAGGGAATGGTGAAGGATGGTGTTATTGAACCTTCATCTAGTCCATGGTGTTCACCTGTGGTGCTGGTAAAGAAGAAGAACGGCAGCATGCGGTTTTGTGTTGACTACCGCCGCCTGAACAACGTTACAAAGAAGGACAGCTATCCCTTGCCAAGAATTGATGACACGCTGGACATGCTTACAGGCGTAAAGTGGTTTAGTACGCTGGATCTGAAAAGTGGCTACTGGCAGGTTGAAATTGACCCTAAGGACAAGGAGTAAACTGCATTCTCCACAGGAAAGGGTCTGTGGCAAGTCATGCCGTTTGGATTGTGCAATGCTCCAGCAACGTTTGAAAGGTTGATGGAGCTTGTACTTACCGAGCTAATTGGAGATGCCTGTCTGGTCTATTTGGATGATATCATCATCGTAGGCCGTACGTTTGAGGAACATCTTCAAAACCTGGAACGCGTGCTCATGAAGATCCAGAGTGCCAACCTCAAGTTGAGTCCAAAGAAGTGCTCACTATTCAAACGGCAAGTTAGTTTTTTGGGGTATGTAGTGTCGGAAGAAGGTATCCGCACGGATCCAGAGAAAATTGCTGCTGTCAAGGAGTGGCCAGTCCCAAAAGACAAGACACAGGTTAGAGCATTTTTGGGCTTGTGCTCTTATTATCGGCGATTTGTGAAGAACTTTGCAGATATAGCCAAACCTCTGTACAAGCTAACCGAGGAGAAGCGACATTTCTGCTGGGATGAAAGTTGCGATATTGCATTCCAGGAGCTCAAGAACTGTCTGTGCAAAACACCTATTTTGGGGTACCCTGATGCGGGCAAGGAATTCATAGTTGACAAAGACGCAAGTGATATAGGACTTGGCAGTGTGTTGTCTCAACGGAATGGTGATCAAGAGATTGTGATAGCGTACTTCAGCAAGTCGTTGTCAAAGCCGGAAAGGAACTATTGTGTCACAAGACGGGAATTGCTTGCTGTGGTAAAGTCCTTGCAGCATTTTAGCAAATATCTTCTAGGGCGGAAATTCCACTTACGAACTGACCATGCTGCACTGAAATGGCTATTGCAGTTCAAAAATCTGGAAGGACAAGTTGCGAGATGGATTGAACTACTGCAGAAATACGACTTTGTGATCGAACATCGCAGCGGGAAATCTCATGGCAATGCAGATGCATTATCAAGAAGACCTTGCCCTGAAGATTACAAGCATTATACTAGGCAAGAGGGTAAAGAAGTTGTATCTACGAGGATATTCAGGACAGACCAGCTCAGCAATGAATGGAAGGACAGCCTACAACATGCACAGCAGGAAGATTCAGACATTAAGCCGATTCTGGAATGGATGAAAGCCAGTGCTCCTAAGCCCAAGTGGAGCGACGTCTCAGCAATGAGTTCGACCACGAAAAGCTATTGGGCCCAATGGGACAGCTTGCTGATTCAGGATAGAGTCCTGTGCCGTAAATGGGAAAATGGTCGGGGAGACAGGTGTCATTTGCAAATGGTTGTCCCTAAGGCTAAAGTGCCGGATGTTCTACAGCTGTACCATAGTGGTTGTTCAGGAGGCCACCTGGGAGTTAAACGAACTCTCCTGAAGATCCGAGAACGGTTTTACTGGGTCCGCTGTCGTGACGATGTCGAGGACTGGTGCCGCAAATGTACAAGTTGTGCGGCTGTAAAGGGACCTCAAATTCGTAGTAGAGGCGCATTGAAATTGTACAATGTTGGTGCACCATGGGAGAGGATAGCCATTGACGTTGCGGGGCCGTTTCCAGAAACTGAAAGTGGTAACAAGTATTTCATGGTTGTGATGGATTACTTCACTAAGTGGCCAGAAGTCTTCGCCATTCCAAATCAAGAAGCTTTAACAGTTACAGATAAACTAGTTCATGAATTCTTCTGTCGTTTTGGAGTACCTTTAGAGATTCACAGCAATCAAGGAAAGAATTTTGAGTCTCAAATATTCCAGGAAACTTGCCGAGTTATGGGTACTCAGAAAACACGAACAACTTCTTACCACCCACAATCTGATGGAATGGTAGAAAGATTTAATCAGACATTGGAGAGGTACCTAGCAAAAGTTGTGGAAAAACGGCAACGAGACTGGGACAGGCACATACAACCGTTTTTGTTGTCATATCGAAGCGCTGTTCACGAAAGTACATCAGTGGCACCAGCTTTCGCAAACTTTGGGAGAGAATTGCGGCTGCCTGCAGACCTGATCACCGGAATACCACCTGATGCCCCACGCAGTATAACCGATTATGCAAATGACTTGCGGAACAAATTGAATGACATTTATGAGCACGTCAGACAGACGGGCCAGCAAACGTCTGAGAAGATGAAAACACGGTATGACCGCAAAATGAACAACAAGGGGTTTGATGAAGATTCATTAGTGTGGTTACACAATCCAGTTCGTAGCAAAGGGAAATTTCCTAAGCTTCAAGCTAAATGGGACGGACCGTACCGGATTGTGACAAGGATCAATGACGTAACCTACCGGATACAGAAAGGTGCCAGAGGTACTCCTAAGATTGTCCATGTGGATCGACTGGCGCGTTATTATGGGGCCAATAATGCTCGGGACGAGCATGTCTTAGGAGGGGACAGTGTTGCGCGCCACTATTAATGTCTTGTACATGGCAACACTAGTTACACTAGCGCCCTCTAGTGTCGAGTAAAAGAAAGTGTTGCGCGCCACTATTAATGTCTTGTACATGGCAACACTAGTTACACTAGCGCCCTCTAGTGTTGAGTAGCAGAACTAGGAGAGTCGAGATGCTTCCAGAAATTTCGGGACCGATATGTACTCGAACATTCTAGACGTCGCTACAGTAGAAGGTTCTGGAAACTATCTGAGGCCCTATATAAGGCCGGTATAGACCACGACCGGGCAGTATTGAATTGGCGATACAAGAGAATACTTCGAAGCGAAATAACGGCGAACTGTGTTTTATTATTAGTGTGATTTAAGATAGTAATTAGTGTTGTGTAATTAAAGTGTCAATTTTGGTAATTCAATCGGCAGTTTTTAATTGTCTCGAACCCCAAGCTTGTAACAATATTTAATACTTTTGCTATAAAATTTTCCTTATTATTATCATCGTACTCAACGAGACTTGGTTGATATCGGAAATTAGCAACAATGAGTTTATCAATCAACGCTATATTGTGTACAGGTGTGACCGTGATCGTATCAGTACAAATAAACTAGATGGCGGTGGTGTCTTAATTGCGGTATTGCGTACACTCAGATCATATGAGTTAAATGTGTCTTTGACTCGTGTAAATTTTTCATTGCATCACCTTATCGAACATGTCATCATCGAAGTTCCTAGTAAGCAATACTCAAAACGCCATGTCTTCAGTGCTGCTTACATGTCCCAAAAACACCCTCTACCGTATACGAACTTCATTTTGAAACTGCAAGAGGCACTGTGTGATCCTGATATGGATTGTTTCTATATTTTGGGTGACTATTCTCCCAGATGTAACTTGGACACGAGGAACCACACACGCCTTACATGGCAGTGGGATGGGTTCATCCGTTAACAATAATCTATTATATAATTTAATTCTATTTCTAGATGCTGCACAACGCGGCCAATATCTTACACAAGCGGTTTGATATGATAAAACAAGTATTTTGTTTTTAGTATTCACTACGTAGTTGTATTGCGCAGCATCTACAAATGAGATTAAATTGTGTAATAGGAATAGATATTGGTCGTATTTCTATTAACGCATATCATCCACCCTTGATCTGTGATATAGCTCTCAATGTTGATATTGTTCCAATGAAAAGGTGGACGCTTCAAAGGTACAATTTTTATAAGTCCGACTACACGCACATCAACCGCAAAATACAGTCCACTGACTGGGATGAAATACTTACTCCCCTGGGATCTTAAGAAGCACTTAATGCACTTTATGGAATAATTGACGAAATTATCAAGTAACACACGCCGTTTGTTGGCTCCAGACCCTCTTCTTTTCCGGTCTGGTTTTCGAAATTTATTTACATTTAGAAAAAAACGTAAAGCCTAGGTGAAATGGAAGTAATATAATAACATATCAGACTATGATATGTTTTCCCAGTATCCTTTCTAGGATATGTTTAATAAATGTTTTTCTAAATATATTGGACTGTCGAGAATAACATACGCTAAAATATTAAGGATTTCTTGGTATACATCTCTAATCGTCGTGACAAACCTGGAATACAGGCTAAGGTTGAATATAATGATGATGTTCTAGCACGTCTTATTAGTTTGTGCATGATGTTGAAAGTGATCAATAGACAATATGCAACATGTTTTCTGAATTCTTCTCTTCCGTTTATGAAACGCCCTCACCTACACTATCACAGTGGAGGCCACCTGCCGATTCAGCATCCCATGACACCACTATTACTGACCTTCATTTTGAAGTAGAAAAGCTATTAAGAGAGCTGAAATCCCTGGATCCATCTAATGGGCCTGGCCCTGATGGCCTATTTGCTTATTTACTAAGAAACACCGCCTCTGTTATATGTAAACCCCAACTATCATCTATAATAAATTAATTACTGAAGGTGTTATGCCAACAGTATGGAAACATGTTAACATCACACCTGTACACAAAAGCGGATCTAAACATAGTGTAGAATAATATCGCCCGATATCAATTTTTGTTCACTTTGTCGAAGCTCTTCGAGAGAATTGTGCATAACGAAATATATCCCATACTATCCCATACAACAGCATGGTTTCGTTAAACGTCGATTAACATCCACCAATCTGTTATTATTTTCCAGCTACTTATTTGAAAATGTTTATAATCGCGTACAGGTCGATGTAGTAGTAGTGTAGTTGTACCACTTCTGGACCACCTGAGTCAGACGTGGTTCAACGACGTTCGTCGACGCCCGATCCTAAAAAAAAAAAAAAAAAAGTTTTGGCATGCTCTGATCACGAATCCGCGGTCCATTTTTGTGTAGAATGCACGGTTCCGGAGATATGTAGATCAATTAGCTAATATCTAATTGATATCCGGTAAGGGCCTCCACCGTCATTAGCGTCCCATTGTTCCTATTTCTATTGTTCTATTGTTCCCTAATCACCTTCATTGCAGCGTGTGCGTCGACTATATCAGTGCTATTGTGTTATACTTCTTTGTTTATACAACGCTAATCTGAATCATCAATAAAACACATTACATAATTTTGTTACAATTTTTATTTATAAAATACAAAATCTTATTAATTATTATCTATAAAATAGGAGCGAA